CAGACGCGGCCGTGTCATGCTGAATGGTCTGGATAACATAACAAACTGTACATTGTATGTGTTGGCCTGCGGTTGACCGAGGCGGCCGTCTCTTGTCGATGTCATCGTCAGGCATGCATCATGCATCTATGTGGATGATTCAACCTTGCTCTTCGCAGTATGGCGACTGGTAACGTATTTTGTTGCTCTGTGGCCCATCGTTTCTCCTCGCAATTCCACCCCCAATATGCATTTATTCACATCAGCCCCTCCAGCCAACGATTTCTGATGGCAAGCAATGTTAAGCTGACCGCATTTCAGACTGAACAGCCCCTCCTCGGTCTTGGTCTACGCTGCTTCAGCAGCACCGTGTCGGGACAAAATGGTACCGGGAGGGCCTCTGCCGCCGATCACTCCCTACCCGCTAACCATGCTGACGCGAGCATTGGAGTGCGATCTAGGCTGGACTTCTCCTGTTCGTCTTGTTTCCGGTACAAAACAGTGTTTGAACTATTGCGTGGTATGTTTGTGCTGAAGTTGTCTAGCTATCAGAAGTTTGTTGAAAACAGTGAAAAGGTAAGCTCAGTGAAAAAAACGTTAGGTTCTCCCTCCCGACCCCACCCCATCACTCACGTTTCGAAGTTTACGACTCGGCATCCTGACTCCACTTTGTTGGTTGTGTATAAAGTCTGTGGAGAGTTTAGTGTAATTTTCAAAGCATTTTTAAAAAAAACTTTGAAAGATTTTTTTCAGCAATATTTGAGATTTCAACATTTTAGCAATGTAATGATTGATAGACCTTCAACGGAGATCATAACTGATAAAAAAAAGACAGGATGTCAAACTCTTTCCGCTTTCTTCCTAGGGCCTACATCCTACCTCACTTCCTCTGAATATGTACAGTACATATAAATATGTACCAAATGTGGCCATTTATTCACTTGCTAGAAATTTTTGTACGTTATAAATTGACTATGTAAAAGTTTCATCTTTTTATTTTGACAAAAGCTGACATAGGGGGCCTACTTACAAATAACCTAGTCAAGTAATTATTTGCAACTTTGAGTTAGGCCTTCTTGAGGGAAAGACTTCCATCTACGGACATCCCTTTTTTCTCTGCAGTTGTTTATCTGCCAATCAGCAAGTCATGACATGTCCTAGAAAGCCAACTTCAGCGAGGAAAATATTGAAGCGTTTGCAAGAAGAGAACACTTAAAAATTTTTCAAACCAGTCTCGTGGGGATTGTGCATAGGCATCAAGCGATGTCCGTCTATGGAACTCTGAATTGAGCACAGGTGCAAGTTTCTTTGGTTTTGTCCAAATCTGGATTGAATGGCTATTGTTATTAATTTGGCATTCAGCTGGGATAGCCCATACAAGTCTTTCAAGTTGCTAGTGGTGTCTCTTGGTTGAATAAGGGGAAGCTTGTAGCTAGGAGACGGTGAGGAAATGTACAGTTTCAACATATGGCAGGAAACGAACTGCACAAATGGGGAAAATCCAAAGAGTTGGATACAGACTGAACCCCTAATCCATCATCCATGTTCTGACCTGTGTGGGATTCGAACCCAGGACCAACAGTTGGAATTTGAGGGAGAGTACATGTATTAACCTCCAACCCAACCCTGGGTTGGATGAGAGTCTGAGTCACAAGTTATTTAGTTTGAGTCCAATTTTCATTTTGAGTGTTTTGCCGTTGTGGCACAAGTTAGTTTCCATGTTACCAAAAATGCCACTTAAGTCATGGACTCAAGTCATACCACTCACCACACACGCACTCACATACCATGTTGTTTTTTTGTTTTGTTTTGTTTGTTTGAGTTTTTTTTGAAGTAAGGATTTTTTGAAGTTGATATTTGCAGTTTTACCAATGAGTACAGTCCTAAGTAGTTCATCATGCAATGCTTTGCATACAATATAAGCGACGATCAGTCCACTTCCTGCCACAGGCCTCAGAAATATACAGTAGTTCAGCTCATCAGATATTAACCCATTGTAGACTGACACTGTGCGTGGTGTGCAATAAGCTGTGTAAAAAATAACTAAGGGCCTATAGTTCCTCATCTGGGATTTTCGAACAAACGAAGGAAGTGGCCCCGTTTTTGGTTTTCAAAATGGCAATTTTTTCCAAGATTGTGGATGTATTTCTGCTTTTCTGCATCTGTTTCACTGATACTTTTCATCTCAATCAACTATCACCCGATCTATCAGATTCAAAATATGCATACATGCTACATGTTTTGCCAAAAATAACTTAAAAAGTCAAACTCTGTTGGAAATAAAAATGTGAAAAAAGAGAGAGCCAGAGGGGACAAAGAAAGAAATTAATTTTCTTACTCTGCCTTAATAAAATCCTGTCATCAACTTGTGCACCATTACAGATCATGAGCATGTCGCAGCGCATCTTGGGGCAGCAGCTTTTTGGTGTGGCTGCCCAGTGCACGTTCTATGGCCACTTCATCGCAGGGAATGGGGAGGCCCAGGCCAGGCGATTGGTGGAGCGCTTTGAGGAGCTGGGCGTGGCCACCATCTTGGCTGTCACAGCCGAGGAGGACGTGGGCGAGAGCGTTGGCAGGTAGGGCTATTGTCAGGCTTGGCTCTTAAAAAAAAGGACGAAGAAAGAGTTTAATATGAGGCAATATTTCAATGTCAAAACCGATGTAAGCCCAAACAACAAAATAGCTGTGTTTCCTGTTACCCGACCCAACTTAAAAAACACATGGAACCTATATCTTTTTATTCAACAAATCAATAAAATATAAAAAGTTATTGTGCCTTGCCCCGAGCCTAATTGTGTGTACATTGTATTGTTTTAATTTTTTTTTTGCATTAGATGGACAGCTTGTGTGTGTTTGTAACTCAACAGCCAGCTGCTTTACTACTCAATCACAGTGCTGATATGTAATATTGACGCGCACATGTACAGTACTTACTTAGTACCTGTTACAAATACACGCTGCCCCCCCCCAAAAAAAAATACAGACCATCTGACCCTAATTTTTTGGGCTACAAAAATTTAGAGTAAAAAAAGTATTTTACCCACCAACCACCCTAATTTATTTTTCAGTGTAATAGGAAATACAACTAATTTTTTGTTTGGCCTAATCCCAGTAGAATTGTTAGAACTAGAATTGCAGCCGTATATATGTTTGCACAGTAATTGGTGGCAACATGTAAATGGTGTCTCCAGTAAACGACTAGTTAGGTCAAAATGATGTGTAGCACAGTTGGAATGACTTGTTGAATATGATCAGCTGTTGCTTGACTCAATCAGATACAATGAGCCAAGATATGACCGGAATGCCAACGGCTACTTAAATTGCATGGACCTCTCCCAGGAGGTGTCCAACAAGTTCAGGCCCATCAGCCAGCTGAAAGTGACCTCGTTTTGCAAGGCCGATGTCTTGGTAAGTTTGTAACCCTCACCCTGTGGGCTCAGTGTACAAGCACGCACTCACAGTTGAACATCAGACAGGTTGGGTTCCCCACCTCCCACAATGTCATCCAGAGTGAGAATGGTGTTGAAGAGACTGGGGCCTGTCTTCCCGTCTCCCCAGGTATACCGTTCCTGCATTAGATAACACATGGCTTCAAATCAGATGTTTGGCAAGTCGTAGTCAAATCTCAAGTCTTTTTTTGCTGGCCCAATTCAAATCACAAGTTATTTAGTCACAAGTAAAGTAGATTCACAAGGTCATTTAATCAAAACACAAGACAAGTCACAAGTCTCTGTCCAAGTGCAAGTCACGTCAGTATCATCCAGGAAACTGAAATATAGTGATGCCATCTAATGAGAGCTTTTCAGTGTGGAAAGTTGCCAGAATTAAGGTTTGGAGTGCGAAGTCTTGAGTTATTGGTATGCCAGCTGGTGAGCACACTTTGAGCACAAATGGTACGAATGAGCTACATGTCGGATTCACTATCCTCCTCGAGTGGGACCAAGAGAGGGCACTATTTTCCTAGAGCGGAGGCTGGGAACTGTACTTTGCTGGTTCATAAATGACTATGAAATGAATGCTTTCGTCACTGTGTGCATCCCACCAATAAAATGAACACTCCCACCACTGTGGCTCTTTCAACTGATGAGGTGGGTGCTTCTCAGTGTTGCAGGTGAGTACTTGTTGAGTAGCAAGGTTCTCTGCCAAATTTTGAAGTGGTTTAGAGGGAATAAAGCTTGAGTACATGGGCTTTTGATGATAAAAATACAAAGGTAAGATTACAAACTAAATGTAAGACTTCAGACACTCCCAGTTTTGTAAAATTTAAGTTTCAAGGAGAAACGGAAGTACTTTTGTCCTGAAATCTTAATTTTTATTGAACACCGATAGTCTGACACTTAAGTCATCATTTGACCTTAAGTTGTAACCTTACCTTGTGCATATACCATCAAATGTACTTCACCTTTGATCCCTCCTAACTGGGTAAATATTTGGCAGAGAACTTCATACTCCAAAAAAACTCAACTACAAAATCGGCACTGCTTCTACTGGAGGCAGATTGGCACAGAAAACCAGTTTCAGTGAAACACTTGAACAACATTTAAACCTGAAGGGTGCCCTCTTATAATTCTGAAGGATATACGTATGATTTGTTGCTCAATTAACATCACGGAGCATCATCATCCTTTCAATTTGAGTTTTTTATACTCCTGCAGGCTAGAATGACAGAATTACTTGAGGAAAAAGGTTTGTCATATGACAATAACTCTTCCTTGAGTGTCAAGAATCTTGCCCAGGGATTAGACGGCAACATGACTCCCATCTCTGATCTCAGTGATGCTGAGAACCACCACCTGAGGCTGGTGTTGCAGAGACTCAGTGATATAGGCCAGGTGCGCCAGTGATTTTATTTCCACCATTTTTTTTCTTTGTGATGTTTTCAGTGGCAAGAAACTGGAATCCATAAAATTCATACAAAGGTTTGCTTAATTAAGTGTGATAGATTTGGCATAAACAGCAAATTAAGTTGCCCAAAAGACAAATTTGCAGAGAAATCCACTAAAAAAGACATCCGTTGAGGGATGTGACGATAACAATTAATATTTGTGATACTTCCAGGCTTGTAACAGCAAACAAGGCGTGAATTGTTTCACAAATTGCCGTGATTATGCAGGACATGCACTTGGTTTTCATTACAAAATGCTAAAAAGTAGCAAAACCTGAATGCATTAATTTTGAAAAACCCACAAAATGTGGGTCACCAATGCTGAGAAATCACACCCCAGTTGATCAGGGTGTAATGACGGGCTTGACCTTCTTACAAGGTCACTAAATCTTACAAAATTCTACACAGACATTGTAGAGTTTGATGGGTTGAGTAGCCATCAATTCAGGAAATTTCTTGAGGTACCTTTGCTAAATGGGCATTGAATATTGGGGGTGTTAAAAATTGTGTTGCCTCGAAGGAACGTACAGTGGAATGCCGCTATAACGAACAAGACGAGGACCACGCCAAATGTTCGGTACAGCGGTCATTCAGTATAGCGAATTTAAGTGCCGAACGTTTCGTTGCCATGTTGAATAGCACCCTCTCTTGTCTAACCGAAGTGCACCCTCTTGTGATACCTTGGCTCGCTGTTTTCGTGATGTTTTGCCATTGCATTCAAGTTGAAGGTTTCTAGAAATGTATCTGTTAATTATTTTTTGTTTTTTTATTTAGACTTGAGTCAAAAATTGATATTGATTTTATCCTGAAAGTCATGAAACTACCGCTCAGGATCAATCTCTGATGCATACTGTGGCAAATCTCGGTTGATTTGTGTATCACCGTGCGTGTACGCCCGGTTTTCTCCGCACCCGATCATGTGGAGTCGCAAAACCAGTGTCTATTCAATACCGTTGACAACTAGTGGCTTTCCCTTCTAATCCTTGGGGAAATAATGGTCACTTGTCACTTTCCAACATAAAAAAACCTCAACTGTTTTATCATGTTGATGTTTGGGAATTACAAACAGCAACTGAATAGTGTTCGGTAGGTTCTGTGCACAAATTATTGGGAGCCAAGGACGATGTTCGGTACAGCCAAAAGTTCAGTATAGCGGTGTTCCATTGTAATGCAAAAATGACAAATAACGGACTTTACCTGTTAATAGTTCATTAACAGTGTTGTATTCAAGTCCTTAACAAGTCCAGTCACAAGTCCCTTCACAAAGCCAGTCACAAGTGACAGAGTGAACGATGACAAAAGAATGCTTTTGTCACAGCTCATTTGAATAGCTTCTGAATGATTTGTAATGGACTTGCAGGGACTTGTGATGGACTCGAATACAACACTGTTCACGAAGTGACAGTAAGATTGCATCGTGAAACTCTCTCCAAATTCAAATGCCGACTGAAGTTTACAATGAATGGGGAACCTCTCAGAGAGTAGAAATGTGATTGTATCATTTGCGTTTCAGCGAGCCGTCAAGAACCATGCCCAGTTGCTTGTCGACGCAGAAAAGACCAACATCAACCCAGGGATAACACTGGTGTGTCTTGCCCTGATGTTGAAATTCAACAAGGAGGAACCTGTGATATGGAACACCTACCAGTGTTACCTGAAGGCAAGCTTGGCACTCCTTTTTTTCTTGACGAATTTTGAAATAATTTCATTTTGATGATTTGTGTTATTTTAAAAGAGAAGGATATTAACCCCTTCACTACGGAGGTTTGCTACTACTGCACCGTTGTGTGAGGATTAGTGCATACCACACATACAGTCTATTCACCATGCAGCTGCTGGTTCAATGGGGTCTGCTGCTGGACAAAGCCCTCCATTCAGGGCATACCACAGCCCAGCAGTTGCGGTCAAAATAATCCCGCCATGAAGGGGTTAATGAGTTGTTCACTTCTTTAGCTTTGCCGAGTTTCTGCAGGCGTAAATAGTGATGTCGGAGATCCTCTCTTCTTTTTTTTGTTTTTGTAGAAAACAAGGGATGAGGTGGAAAGTGACTTGAGGTGGTCCCAAAAGCGAGGCGTTTGCTTTGGGGTGAAAATTGTCAGGGGTGCCTACATGGAGGCGGAGAAGGGATACGCAGCACAGCACCAGCTGGAAGGTGGGAGGCTACGACAGAATAGACCTGAAAAGAGAGAGAGACCAACAGTCAGATAGCTGGGGACAGAAAGAAATGTGTTAAACGGGCACGTTGTCCGTCTTGCCTTATCCCTCCTGCTGAGTTTGTCTGGTGTGCACTGGAAGCACTACCCAGTGAAACTTAAGTTTCACAAATCTAGTCCCTCCAACCAGGATTTCAGTGTTTATCTGTGTGGCAGGGAAGGTAACATTATCAATTCAATCTTTGAATACTGCAGGTGGCCCGTCCACCCTCCTTAACCATGTGCTGCTGGGTTTAATGAGAATTTGCATGATGACTTCCCGGGGGATTTTCAAGATTTTCCATTTTCAAAATTCTTCAAAAATTCATCACTTCATTTACTGGACATTTACACCCACATGAATGACTGTCTGGTGGCTACTCTAATCTGATAGGCAACACCTATTGACGCCAGAATATTTCAGCCAGGCCTGCCACCTTGTAAAGAGAGCCCACACTGTGCGGTGTTGGCCCAGTCTTTTCAAATGCAGCCAGATTAGTGTGTAACAGTATTGTATTGTTCATCACTGGAGCGCTTGTGTCCCTGGTGATAATCCACTTTCCCCGAATGCCACAAATAGTGGTATACACTGTTTCAAAACAATGATGAGTTACCTCTGCTATTGACAACTGAAAAAATGTTGGCAATTCCCAACAGCTTGGTCTTTTGTGGCATAGCTCCTTTGTCCAATTTCGGGCACCCCGGCTATGCGTATAAACCTAAGTTCTCCAGTACTAGGATCCCGGCACGAAGTGGTTGATATTATCTGCCAAATCTACCAATATGAGCAGCGTTAGTCATTCACTCTGCTCTACTTCAAGAGTTTACAACAGGATTTGCACTAACTCTGGTGCTTGTGCACCAATTTAAGCGATTAAAGCATTAAATGGGTTTTATAACCTCAGACAATTCAAACCCACATTAGTGATTAACTTTATAGCAGTCAGCCTGTGCTGAGCAAACTATAGGCACACACGACTCTGTGTTCAGTCAGGCGACGTGCAGTAACCATTCGTGGCTGTGGTTTGGCACTTCATGGTAATAAAATCTCCCAGTGTCAATACAGTTGCTGATGAGAAAGATGCTCCAAATCCTGGTATCACCTCACTGAGTGAATCTGGACTTGACAAACAGCACCCTCAACAGGTCACGCACAGATACATTAATCACAGATTACTGCTGGAGGGGAAGAGAAAAAACAAAAACCTCAATATCGACGGGCATAAATATTCTCCCGCTGTTATTATTGGTCTCATTTGGGTTTCCCTCCCGCAGACCCGATCAATCCCAGCTATGAAGCGACCAGCGACATGTATGATGGAGTGGTGGCTCTCATGATGGACCACATAAGCCGAAACCCAGGCCGCTGCGGCATGATCGTCGCGACCCACAATGAAGAGTCGGTGCTGAAAGCAGTGACAAAGTATGCATACAGGAAAGCATTCTCCAATATGGATTTAACTCGTACTTCAGTGTTGCATGCAATACTCTGTATGTTTTCACCGTCAAGAACCTTTGGCCAATTTCTAAGACCTGTAAGCACCAAGCATTCAGTAGCAAAACTGGTAACCGGCCAAAATACCAAGCAGCATATTGTTTTTGAATGGTTCCCAGCCTGTTCTTCTGTTATAGCAAATATACATGTTAATTTGTATAGTGATTTTCCGCTTAATAGCTGTGGGGGCTAATTCCATAGGCCCAAAGATCTGTTAAAACTCAAAAATAATTCCTTTTAACAAGGGTGCCTGTCAATTATATTTAGTGCACTGTGCTGTCACTGGTTCTCAGCCAACTTTTGAATCTGCTGGGCAACATCTTGTGCGTAGCATATGTTTGTATAAATTGAGCCATGGTTTGAAAAGGAATTCTTCGAGTCCAGAGGGGGCAAAGACTGAGTCATTATATAGCGAGGCCAAGGCTTTCAAGAATCAGCCTTGTGGCTAGACTTGAGACCTCCAACACTGGTAAGCATCGGGTCGCGACCACAACAATTGGACATTGACTTTATTTGAGGCCAGACTTACAATTTGACTTGTGATTGTGACGTTTGATTGAAATGACAATTGCTCTTTTTTTGTTTTTTGGGGGGTTTTTAGGATGGAGGAGCTTCAGCTGTCGCCTACCTCTGGCGATGTCATCTTTGGTCAAGTCTATGGCCTGTCTGACCGAATCACTGTGGCACTCGGTAAAGAACTAAAAACAATTTCCTCCCAACAACATTATGCAAACTATTCATGAGAAGTTGTCAAAAAAATCCAAAATTTTGCATTCATGTTACGCCAGGAGTTGTGAAAGGTTTTATTTTAGTTACATTCATAGTCATTGCGTCATTTAATCCAATCACTAGTCAGCATGTTTGTCCATTTGACAGGGAATTATTACTCCCCCCCCCCGACCACATCACCCTCTTTTGAGGCCCGCAGAAATTAGAACCATTAAAATATGAAGTGGAACACGAGAACGTTTATCACAGAAGTTTCATCCAGGTATCAGGAGATTTCCCACTCACGGTTGGCAGAACTGTAAAACCAGGGTCTAGCTGGTCTGAAACTTTCTGGTAAACGATTTCAAAAATGTCTTTGCCCCACCCAGGCAAAGCAGGCTACATCACCTACAAGTCGGCGCCTTACGGCCCCGTGGACGATGTCTTGCCATACCTGGCCCGCCGAGCTCAGGAGAACCACTGCATACTGCAGAGCACACGCCGCGAGCGATCGCTGATGATGGAGGAGGTCAAGATGAGGATGAAGTTGCACTAGCACTGGCTCCTCCCCTGTAACGGCACTTTAAGTGCCAATAGAGGCTTCACGTGGTTGCCATTTTGCAGGGCAGTTTTTTGTTCCATAGGGAAATCTCCTTTGTGCATACCCCGTGGAACAACAGCACTGGCCTACAAGATGGCAGCCATGCAAACCCTCAACAAGGAAACCACTGGCCAGTCTCTGTAGCCACTTTCGATTGGCCACTGGCCAGTCTCTGTAGCCACTTTCGATTGGCCACTGGCCAGTCTCTGTAGCCACTTTCGATTGGCCGATGAACTCCCAGAGCATTTCAGCAACCTTAACCAGAAGCATGTGTTGAGTTCAAAGCAATTACCAGGAATATTTTTCAGGAGGCCCGCAAAAGTGCAGAACCAGAAATGATTACATCATCGACAGACAAAGTGCAAAAACACAGGTGACCTTGTTGAACGTCATTTCAACTCCGTGTTCAGCAAGTTTCTTTCCAGTGCTGCTCTCTCACATTCTCAAAGAAAGTACCTCTTTAATTTTCAAATAAATTTTTGAATGTGTAATATTGAAAAGATGACAAAAATATGTGTACTTACTTTTTTCTTTTTTAACTGGCATGTGTGGTGAGAATAGTGACATCACACAGGTGTGAACGAAATCTGTGATTCCCACGGACAAAGTTGTTAAGACAGCTCAGATTTGCCCTATTTTATGCAATTTTTCCAACAGGGCTAGCAGTACTTCCGAGCGTTAAGAGTAACGAAAAGTCCTAAATAAACTACCTAACACCCAAAAAAACCTTTAAAAAAACTGATAGATGGTTTCACAGCAAATAACAACTGGAACAGGTATTCCAGGTATTGAAATTGAAGCTTCCTCTAGGCAGTATTTGAAAGAGTCAAGATTTTCACTAGAGTGGGGTCAAGTTTGATTGTTTTCGTTTGCTTTAAAAAGTTGTACACAACTGTACACACACACACTAAGTTAAACCTATGCATGTGATGCTTAAGAAATAAGTTTTTAATCTCAACCACCAGATCTGCAGGACTCTAAAAGTTCAGGTACTTAAAGACGCCGAGTTACAAAAAGACGCCAAGTTACAAAATGATTGCACTTGATTGATAAATTGTTACAAAAGAGCTAACATGACTACCAGTGCCAGAAAAAATTCCTTTCCAAATTTACTTTTAAGAGATCTTACAAAAAGTTAATTAATATTTTTATCCTGATGTAGAACTGTATATAATACATAAGTGTGACAACAGGATTTGCCGAATATTAATTTTGAGTAAAGTGTGGAAAAGGGTGTACTTACGTACAGTGCACATTAATGATCTTACAGCTTCAGAGTCCAGGTAAAACATGGGACGGAGATCGAATGAAGCCAAATGTAGGCGATTCTGGTGACCATGGCAATGCCATCACTGGTCAGTTGCTGTGACCCCTACCATTGACGGTAAGCATTGTGATAATGGCAATGCCATCACAGGTCAGTTGCTGGACGACATGCCATGGACGAAAATTTTTCAGAACTAAATATAATAATACGGGTGATTCACAGTACGGTTCACGTCCAAGAGTTTGCCACAGAGAGGCCATGGCAATGCCATCACTGGTCAGTTGCTGTGACCCCTACCAGTGACGGTAAGCATTGTGATAATGGCAATGCCATCACAGGTCAGTTGCTGGACGACATGCCATGGACGAAAATTTTTCAGAACTAAATATAATAATACGGGTGATTCACAGTACGGTTCACGTCCAAGAGTTTGCCACAGAGAGGCCATTTTCCACGTTTATGGTCAATGAAATCATGGCCCCCTTGCCGCGATTTGCGTCTCTTTACTACTTCGAGAAATTTCTGATGGATTTGGACATACTGTGCAACAGAAAGAAAAAAGGATTACTTAAAACTGTTACCAAAATACACTCTCCTCTGACAAATGAACACTAGGAACAATTCAAGTTCCTGTGGACCATTTCCCATAATGCCCTGTGTGAAATGGCCTTCCATTGGCAACCGATTCATGGCACACTGTAAATCATTTGCACTGAATAAAGTGAAGAGTAGCCTGCTTCATGTTAACTCGATTTAGGTCACGTGTTACCTCGCAATGATACGGGTACCTTTTAGAAATCAGACTAATCAGCCGACAAAAATTGTCGGAGGTGGAGGGAAATTTTTTTTAGGCATTGGTAAGCTAAGCATTGTTTATGTTTTCTGTTGGAACATTTTTCATTTACACTGTAAATATTTCCACCCAAAATATTTTAACATCACATTACAATTTTGACCGGGTAAAATTAAAAACATATATGTTTTATAATGTGAAAATACAGATTATGTATAGTCTCATGAATGTACAACACTTTGATTTGTCAGGAATATTTTACAATAGTACAGACACGTATATTTCAAAGTGAAACTTGCTATGATTTATATTTTGACATAAATAATAAACTGACCAAATAAGGGTCTCCTTGAACCAGAGCCCTTGTTGTCCGTCTGCTTGTGTAACATGTTTGCCGAAGGAATTGGGCACTTCAGTTCCACGTTGCCCAAACAATGGATGCTTAATAGACCATCTAGTCAACCACCGGGGTTTAGTCCCTGGGACACCACTGTCTCATTACTGGCTGTCAGTTTTCATTTTATGTGATGGAGTATTGACGAAGCTTTGGGCCCCAAAACCATAACACAAGATGGCACCGAATGCAGCCAACAGAAGAACATGCGGGACTGCATTTTGTATCCACATTAAACTTTGTCAGAAGCACTTGACAAATGGTTGTACAATAGGTCCCACCCCAACTTGCCCGTTGTGAATGATGGTCACTAGGAGTTTACAATTACCTGGCACATGTCGTTAGGGGCTGCCATAGTAAGCTTGCGGTCTACTGTGAACTGGTACCCGGCGCAGTTGCCTTTGCTGCCGAACCATGGCCTTGCACTGAATGGAGACAAACAAGTCTGTCATTGCCGGTGCTTACAATCAACAGGCTTTATGCATTACTATTAACCCCTCAGGGTGCACGCCGCCTACCCACAGACTCGGTCTGTGCGCATTCGTTCTGTGCCACAAGTGTGCAACGCAGTGCGTCTGCCCAAAGGAGATATTGTTGCTGGGCAACAAAGCGCCCTCACCTGTGCATGCAAAGACTCGTTATGATGCATGTGAAAAAAGTTAACAGTTTCTTTGATAGCACAGTCTAGAGAGTGCCCTATTCCCGCAAATCTTTTCCCATGCACAGTGTTGCACTCTTGGTTCCTCGTGGACTGCCTTTCACTTGTATATGCCGGACTGTTTGTGCGCATTCTATGGGAAAAAAATGGGCATGTGCACTCTCTACACAAAATAGGTGCCCAAGCGGGTACTCCACTGTGGGTAAGATTTTGAGTTGAATTCAAGAAAATTTGTACCAAGTTATTAGCGATCAGGGGCCAGTTTCATAGAGCTGCTTATAAGCACAAAATTTGCTTAAGCGGGAAAAGAACTTTGCTAAATAAAGGTTACCAGCTCAAATTTTATCTGATTGTCATGCTAACCAAAAACCAGCTAAACACAATCCCCAAACAATATACATCACATGGAGTTTTGGCTGGTTACCTGATTTAATCAAGTAAGGTTTTCTTGCGCTAGAGCAAATTTTGTGCTTAAGCAGCTCTATGAAATTGGCCCCAGGTGTCTGAACTATTTGGTCCTCACAGCGTCTCATGCATCACAAACACAGTCCCCACAACCATGGAACAAGTAAGTGTATAAAATAGTGCACATTTTTTTTCTGCTGTTGTGAGAAGGCTTTATGTACATCCACAGCTCAGCTGTGAACCAAACCAGAGCAATGTGCATATCCCATGGCTTTTTCACTAATATCCCGCTGAGTAGCAAAGTTAAGCCTCTTCCTTCCTTAGTAAATTTCCGTGCTAAGTAGCTTCACAGATACTTAAAAAAGAAAGGGACCCTACGTGATGTGTCAAACACTTGGTCTTGTCTTGGTTCAAATGAACACACTTACGTCTCCTTGCACCGTCCACAAAGTCCTTCAGTATGTCAGCCATGATGGAACTGGCTGCATGGGGATCTTCCAACTGTCGCGTAGGCAGAATTTTACTTTCTGGCCTAGACCGGAAAGAAAAATTAAGTCAAAGTTTTGTGGGGGCATCATTGTGAGAAACGCTCAGTATTTTGTCTCCTGACGATGGAGAGAGGATACTGTCTGAAACGTTGGGTGCCCTCCAGCTCTTTTCAGAAGGTCCACACAAACGCAAAGGAGATATCCTTGCATGGTGCTACCGCAAACCTCTTAACCTAACTTGCCACCTTCACCATGAAAAGCCTCAAAACTCATCCATATTTTCACTTGTCCTCAAGCCCCAGGCAGCATGACGTTTCACCACAATATCAATATCACCACAATGTTTGCTCTGACACTGGCTTTGAAACCACTGAACTCGAGTCGTCTTGCCAAGTCAATTTAAGCATCTCCGTGCCCACAGACACTGCGTTCTGTGTCTAAACTCGACGGATAATTGTGTGTCTAAACTTGACGGATAAAACCACATAGTAGGTAGAACCGTCTCGATGCTGAGTAACTCATTATGGTTTTTTAGATATTTCACACGCATAGCTTCTGTCCCAGCACACAGAGCGAGATCAGGTCTCAAAAGTGCAGAGAAGCATGTCATGGTCATCCCTCCACACAAGGCATCATAAAAATGGATCCTGAAGTGAGTTCGTCTTCTTACCCTGAAGCAGGCATTTCTGGGGGTCTGGCACATTCCTGGGGGGTCAGTGTGGGCATCAACAGTGCTGGCTTGACCTAAAACAATAAGTCGTACTACTGAATCAGTGTTCAGTTGAGTAAAATATAAATATATATGGAACAATGCACTCATTATGCCCATAGCCCTAACTGCTACTGTTCATGAATATTCGAACCCTAAAAGTACTGATCTTAACCTTATCACAACCAAGACAGAGAGCTAGAAATAGGCCGTTTCTCCCTTTGAACCCAAGATCTTGGCTGTCCAAGACTCCAAAGACAGATTTCATTTTTCTCTCAAATCATGCACAGATACAAAGATGCCCAAGTTTTGCACATCTATCAAGTTTTAATTCCTTTGCTCCTTGGGTTCATAAGTAAACTTGCTGAGCGAGCACAATTCACTGAATTTGGAACTCTGACATCTTTAGGAGTAAAAGAGTTTGATTTTTAGAAATTCCTAGGGGACAGCTTCAAGGAGGCTTAATTTGACAACCTCAATGAATCGCAGGATAAAAAATTTGTGAAAGGTAGTTTCAACTTCCTTGAGGAGTAAGTCTGGGTTGAGACAAGACACGTACAGAATACCTACTTGCTTCAGTCTAGCAATTTCTAGTTTCAGCTGAGAGATTTCTGCCTGAGCTTCCCTCTCAGCCTTTGCTCTTTTTCGTTTTTCCTAACAGGTCAAGAAAAAATAAAAGTCAGACAAAGTTGAAAGACAAAACAAAGAGAGCAAAATACTTATTTACTTCAAGTTCTTGTGAGCACACTGAACAAAAGGGCAGCTCTATATCCCCGGTTCTATCCAGAACCATTTTGCTCCTGTAAGAACTTTTTATAAAGTGTATCCCCAAATCCTTTACTTTTATGTGTTAGCAGACAATGCCTTACCTCAATATCATTATTTCTCTCTGTTACTCTCTTGTTTTAGGAAGAAAAAGCCTAAGAATTTTTCACCCTTTCTGTCACCAATTTTGTTTTCTGTTATTTCGTTTCATAATACAAAACCTAAAAAGTGGTTGAAAGCATGCATACAATAAACACCTGTATAAATGTTACATGGTTTGAGGTTGGACAGTCATTTTAGGTCTCTGAGTATTGGAAGTAGATAAACTTGTCCACTTCAGAAACTAGGTTGTCGACTTCCAATACCTAAGGGATCTAATACAGACTACTCAGCCAAAATAAACCACAATATCTTTGCTTGACTATACCTCTTGCACATTCATTTAACCCATGTGATATAAAAATGCATCCAGTCTGGAATCACTGACCTGGGAAATATTTATTAACACATATTAACACGTTAAAGAACAACATTTAGGTAAAGGGTGAAGCATAGATTTGCTTTTGTACCCTAACCTATTGACAGACATACATATTATAACATAGGACAATACAAGACATGAACATGTTTTTGGCAATGATACACATACGGACAAACACTGACAAATATGCTGATCGATAGATATGTGTGCCGCCATCTTTTCACGTGTACGTAAGCCTAGCTTGGCATTGTTTGCTCATGCGTACTACACCCATAAAGCACATGCACAGACAAACTAACACAAGGTTACTAGTTCATTTACGCATGTGTATTTACTCTATGCATAAAAACTTGCATGTGCAAAGCTTGTGTGTGCACTTGGCAAACTTGGCTGTATATCATGAATATGTATGAGGCAGTGTTGCAGTGGAGACCACTTGAGAACGTCACAAGACCAGTACAAGACCAACACAAAACCTCCAGTCTGAATTCAAGTCACAAGCTATTCAAATGAACTGCAACAAAAGCATTCCTTTGTCATTGTTCACCCTGTTACCTGAGACTGGTCTTGTGCATGGTCATGTGTCTGGTCATGTGATGGTCTCCACTACAACACTGGTATAAGGTATAAGTAATATGAAATATGGACCAAAATCCCAGATTTTCATCAAACAAGCCTCATTTCAGCATCCTAAAACTGACAAACTTCGTGGGGGCATAAGAGTGGACAGTCCCACCTATCTCCCTTTCTAAAATTCCTGAATCAGCACTCACTAACAAATTTACAAATTAATTAATATTTCAGTGTCAGCCCTTTTAGGAAGCCACAAAAATTTGGGGAAAGGGGAGAAAAATAATGTGACAACAGACCCTTCTTGCTGGATTCTTGAGGCATCTGAGCCAACACAGCCCGAGTAGTTTTGATTGATGAACTCGATGACTCCTACCTGCTCAAGGAGATCTCGCAGCCTCTGCTGGTCAAATCTGGCCATCCTCTCTGAATTTTGGATCTCTTCCATCTCTTCTTCCTCCTTCCGCAACTTCTCCCTCATCTCCTCATCTCTTGCTGCATCCTTCTCTCTGGTTGATGAAAAAAAATGAAACCCAAATGGGATTTTTCCAAAAAAATTTTACAAAAATTCAGTTTGCATGTTTTCTAATGAACGTTCTTTGGGCGAGCAAGCTGAACAAGCAGTAAAAAAGGAGTTTTCTGGGAACAATACGTTTTTGGTAGTTCTTTTGGGGGGTATGACCAGGGAGGCAGTAAAGGGGTGGGGAGACGGACGTGAGGGGGAAGGTATTCAACTAACCTCTGTCTCTGGTCTTTCCTGATATTCCTCTCTCGTCTTCTGTCTTCCGCTTTGGTTCGCTGTGGCAGCATCTCGTAGTACCAATACTCCCAAGGCATAGCCACTGCAAGCAACGATGATAGGGTTGAGCTGCATCGTTAACCCGGCAGTTTCTGTGCTCACTGGTGGCTAAAATGGGGGAGGGAGGGGGGAAGGCTGGCACTTTTTCAATGTGGGAATGCCCCCTTCAAACACACTTTTAGTTCGACCACAATGGGGCAGGGCCTAATCAGTTTATTCCTGGCTGATGCCATGGTCCCACAACGGTCCCCCTGCTTTGAAAATCCTTCCGCCGCTGTTGTCACCACTGCCTGAAACCACCCTGCCTGTCACTTTCTATGGACTATTCCAACACCCAGAATTGAAAGCTGGCTCCGCAGTAGTAGTCCAGTGGTGTAGCCGGGGGGCCCCTGGGGGGTACATGCCCTCCCACAAATTCCCAGTGCCCCCCAGGTGCCCCCTTCCCACTAAAAAAACAGAGGAATACATATTGGACAAGGCTAACAAAAACTTGCCCCCCCCAAAAAAAGCACACCACTGAAAGCTGGTGCCCCCCATAAGATGCTGGTTCCCCTTTGTGCCCCCTCCACTAATAAAATCCTAGCTACGCCACTGAGTGGTACTAGATAAACTCGCAGGAGATACGCCTCCCCAAATAGTTTGTGATCATGCTACTGGCCAAAATGCTCCCATGCATCAAGTCTGAGATGTGCGCGTGGTTGTGGTGTTACCATGGTAACAGCATCTCCTTTAGAGTAATCCACACTGCCTGAAATTACTTCAGTATGCTCTGGTACAGTCAAGCTAACAGATTTGGGACTAGAATACAGGTCTTACCAGGTTAATATAATGCAATTGCCTCACTTTTGGGTACTTACAACCTTCCTCTGCACGAGGCATCTTTTATTTACTAAATAACCTTACCTTGTGTTGGGTCCAGTACTGGTGTGCCGTCTTGCCCACTGTTCAGCTGATGATGTAGAACCTGGTAGAAATGATGGCCAATCTGAAAAATGCACCAGAACAATGGAAAATGACTGAAAACCTGAAGACAAAAACTGACTTCTTCATGTGAAGTGGAGCACGCTGAGTACGCGTACCTAATTTACCCTGGCATGTATGGTCTTTGTGTACATGCAGAACGCATGCAAAGACCCGCTTGTAATCACCTGTCGTTCTTTTTGCTGATTAGGGGTGCACTTCAGCTTGGGGCGGATACCATAATCATGTTTAAAGGGAAGATATAAAACAAACTAATTCATCTAGTATAGTCTTTCCAGACAAAAACACACCAAATGACTGAATGCCAGGCTGATGAACTCAGTTCCTGACACAACGACCGACTGACCAACTCACTGACCAAACAAGCCCAATGACTGACCAGTCATTATGCGGACAATCATCTGACAGGCAAGCTAACCACAGCCAGTCAATTTCTTGCGCCGAGCAGATTTGGCTCGGATTTGCCGACTCCATGCTTGATTCTTACCTCATACATAAGTTCATCTTTAGTCAGTTTGACGGCATTCCTCTTAAGTATGAACTCCATCTCGGGCAACTGTGGGATGAAACATAAGAAATCTAAAAATTTAACTGAGGTGGAAAGCTTGCGGTAGCACCATGCAAGGATACGGTCTCTTTGTGAGTCTGTATGGTTCTGAAAAGAACCGTGAGGAACTCAACGTTTCGGACAGTATGCTCTGTCTGTCGTCAGGAGACTGGACGGACAGAGTATACTGTCTGAAACGTTGAGTTCCTCACGGTTCTTTTCAGAACCATACAGACTCACAAAGAGATCGTATTCTTGCATGGTGCTACGGCAAGCTTTCCACCTTAGTTGTCTGTCACCATGAATAGCTTGAAATCCCATCCAAAAATTTAAATCAGACTATTCTGCAACAGTCTTTTCTCAGAATAACTTTTCGTTTAACACTTGCTCAGATTTTTCACTGAACATCCATTTTGAGGTATTTGGGTGTGAAAAGTTAATGTTCAAAGCGACTCTAAAATAACTCAGCTTGCAAGCTGAAAATTTCCAGAAAGTAACCAAAAGACTTACACTCTCGCACTGCAGCAAGTATTTCCTTTGCAACATTAAGACACTGACTGTCATGCAAGGAACGATGTCATAGTCTGGTACATCCAAGCCGATAATGTACTGGTCCCATACATACATGACGGCATCCAGACTTAAGTAACCTTGAAGACAACAAAAATTATAGTCCAAGGGTGCATTTTTTTTAATTCATTCATGAACTGAATACAAAAGAAAGAAACCGCACAGGAATTAGTTATTACTTTTGCTTGGTTGTCCGTGGACATGTTTAAAAGGAAAATGAACAGTGGTTCTTGGAAACTTACCCACAAAGAGACACCTGACCATTGGCCTGACCAAAGTCTTGATGCCTTGTGTGAGTGCAGACGGCCCTGCAAAGTGACCTGTGGCCAAAACACATTCGGAATTGAAACAGTATGCACAGATAGATCACGTGTGCGTTCTATTGGTTTCAACAAGAAACGTTTGAAGTCTAGCGTGTGGCTTGAGATAAAGATAAAAACTCCTCTAAAGCCAAGAAAAAGGTTTTAAAAAAGTTGGAAAAGGGTATCTATGCTGTAAAATGCATGGACAAGAGACCACAATTAACTTAATTGTTATGAAAAGAAATTAAGATTTCTGCAATAAATATTGACAAAAAACATTCGCGGTCGGACGTCTTTGGAACAAATTCATTTTGGTTTTTCCTCCAAAATTGGTGCTCCCATAGGTTTCATTCTTCATCAAGACGTTAGAATGGAATTTTTTTAAGTCTCAGAAAAGGAGAAAGGTGAGACTAACCACTGAACACTTGGTGAAAGTGCTCTGCCAACGCCTCGTCTTTTTCTTGCAGCATCCCAGCGATCTGCTTTGCAAATGCCTCCATGCTCCCCTGAAAATCCTGCAAAGTTGTCAGAAATGCAATGCTGGACCCTAGTGTGAGAGTTTCAACAGCAGGGTTTTTTCCTATCTGTTTCTGCATGGGCTATAACAGCGAGGACTCATTGCACAGTCAGAAATGCGACGGAAGAGTAAATGAGTGAATTCATCAAGCATGATTATAAAGAGAGGGACACACTTCGAATCACAATGAAAGTCGTCTACACTCGACCAAACGAAAGGTATGAATAAAAACCTGGGGGCAACTCCTTGAAATATCAGCCCTTGGACAATGTCTTGCCTTCTAGAAACCAGACCAATATGGCAAGTGCATCATCTGGTTGCCAGACAAAAATACTGACAATGTTTTTGGGATGTTTAGGTCCGGTAGGAACCGTGGTGACATGGCTAAAGTAGGATAAATTGTAAGCCAAAGGTTAAGGGTTTGATATCTGCCCAGACTATCTTCGCCACAATTGCTCACCATTGTTGGTCAAAGTATCAGGAAGACATTGGAGTTTTTCAAACAGTTAAAAATTGTCAGTTGAGATATGAAAAAGAGACTTGTGTGGGAGAATATGTGGTGTGGAAAAATAAAATTACGGCCAAGACAGTAACGTCCTGCTCCCAAACTGGATGGCTGTGTCCAAACCAACTTGCTGTGGTTGAGAGTAACACAAGTATGTGGAAAGAGGCTGCAGCTGCCAGCCAAAGACCTCCAGTGGCCAATGAGTTATTCAAAGCCCTAGCCACAACTTTTGAACATGGCCTAAATCTAGATGAGAAAGCTTGCATTCGGACTAGGGACAATGGTGAAGAACTCACTTTGACGTAGGATTCCCGCATAAAAATTGGCCGGCTGGACATAAATGTAGCATACTCCTCTATCAGTAGGGCCAAGGTGCTCTCCAGCACGAGCTGCTCAGGCCGCGTAGTTGATAACACATTGAGGAGGAACGGAATTACCAGCATGTAGTCCGTGTCAATCAGGCTAGTCTTCGTCTTCTTGCAGACGTGGTGGTAGGACAAGATGGCCTTCATTGCATGGAGTATATCTAGACAGACAAAGATATTTATTTTAATAGGCCATATGACAAGCTGAAAAAGGAGATGTTTTTGCATGTTTTGTAAGTTAAAGCTATGTGCAATGCAGTGTACATTAACCCTCCTATGCTAAAGTCATTCTTTGGGTCACTTGGTAAACACCTCAAAGAAGCACAGCTGTGTTATGTTGTGCACTGCACCAACAGTCCCTCACAGGAATATCAA